GCAACAGGCGGCTGGTGGTGGGTGGAGGGCGTGGTCACAGGCAGAGGGGTGGAGAGTGTGGCCACAGGCAGCGGGGGGCTGGAGGGCGTGGCCACAGGCGGTGGGTGGTGGGTAGAGGGCGTGGCCACAGGCAGTGGGGGCTGGAGGGCGTGGCCACAGGCAGCGGGGGGCTGGAGGGCGTGGCCACAGGCGGTGGGTGGTGGGTAGAGGGCGTGGCCACAGGCAGAGGGGTGGAGAGTGTGGCCACAGGCAGCAGGGGGCCAGAGGGCGTGAGGAGGGCCACAGGCAGCGGGGGGCCAGAGGGCGTGAGCGGGGCCACTGGCAGAGGGGGCCGGAGGGCGAGGGCAGGCCTGTGCTGACACTGTGTCGTGGCTTGCAGGCAGTACGTGCGGAACACTGTCATCGGGACGATGGGTCTGAAGCCCACAGGCCGCCACTGTGAGGTGTCTCGCTCCAGGGGGCTGCGCACCTGCAGGTAACTCTTGCTGTACATTGGACATGCTGTCCACTAGTCATGTGCTAGCCGCGCTATATAGTCACACTGCTGACCGCGCGGTCTCGCTGCACTGTGCCGCGTGAGGACCGCGGTGTCTGCTGGCCGTGGGCTGACCATGCTGTCTGGACACCTGGACGCACTGGCAGTGTAGTCTTGTGGGATCTGAAACCTGCGCGTCTGTTCGCCTGCAGGGGGAAGCTGATTGGCACCATCCTGGACTGGGAGGACGCCCTGCCGGACAAGGACCTCAACCGTGCCGACGAGGCCTGCAGGTGAGGCAGAGGGCAGGAGTCGGGATGGGGAGGGGGGAGAGAGGAGCAGCAGGGTGTTAAGTGTGAGAATACCAGTAGAAGAGGGCACATCTGTCAGTCCACCAGCCACGGGCCAGCACCGGGCTGCAGGGTGCCGTTGCCATGGTGTCCCAGTGTCAGCATCCCCAGGCCCGGTGGCTGTCCCAGCTCCCTCAGCTGGGTCACTGAGCTGCTGTCCCTCTCTGGACACAGTGGACCGGTCCTGCACCAGGGTCCAGTCTGTCCTCTCCATCGAGGAGCCGGGGTGTGATCGCTGGGTCACTGAGCTGCTGTCTGTCCTGCTGGAGTGTCTGTCCTGCCCCGTGTGCCCCAGCTGAACCATGCAGAGCTGTCCTCTATCTTTCTCTGCTCTGTGAATTGTCTTCAGGACTGACGCCTGCCTCACCGTGTCCCACAGCAGGTCACGTCAGCGAAGGGTGGATTTCGCACGTTTGTGATGAGGTTTTCGGCAAGAGACCGTCGTAAATGCGTCTAGCTGTGGAGCTCCTGAGCCATTGCAGGTTTTGTTATGGACAGCACACAACCGTGAAACCCACAGGGGACAAGGAGATCTGAAGAACTTAAAGGGTTAGTTAGGGTGAATTAGTAGCTCAGGGCCCAGGGCGGCAGTAGCAGTAGAGGGGGTACTGCAGTTCGGTGAGTGTAGCCTGCACCCCTGTTCCTTCCACACTCACAACCACAAACACTGGAGTTTCCTCATCCTCCATCTTGTTTTCTCGCTTCATGGCTGTCGAATCCCCTCCTGCCGGTGATTGTTCGTTCCCAGCAGGCAGGGTGCTTCTTCGGAACGAGGCCCGGTGTTGCGGCCCCTTGATCGCATCGTTCGCTGCAGCTGCACGGCTGCGGCTCTGGGATGAGCTCGCGGCGAAGGAGGGGGGCGTCCGCGGGAGACCGCGGCGGCGGCAAACCGCGGAGATGTATCTTCTTATGCCTCCTTGCGCTCGGGCAGACAAAGAGCACGAGCGCTGGAGGGCGATGAATTCTCTGCCCCCTGCTCTCGCCTCCTAGGCAGAGCTCGCCTGAGATGAGCTCTGCACTGCTTCAGCGCAGGTTTCCTCCGGTGCTGCACCTCGCCCGTCTGCTCCGCTCGGGAATCCGTTTCCTGGGGCGCAGCGTGCTGATGGCGCTCAGGTCTGATGGAGCTGTGAGCTGCAGTGTGGAGAGAACGCTCTGTCAGTCTCCCGGCTCTGCTAGCAGCAACAGGAGGCCCTTCTGACACAAAGGGTTGTGGGAGTGTGGAACAAGATGTCCCGCCATGATGCCGAAAACGATACCATGTTTTTTTTCAGGGAAACGCTGATAGGACCCTCGGATTAATCAGTTACCATCTAACAAACGAGAGAGATGCACTGAATGTCTCCCCACCTT